TCACAAAACATGGATATAGGATCATAAATTACAGTGACAGCTTGTACTTAACAGGTATTATTATTATTATTATTATTAACTGCTCCCATTTAAAAACCAGAAATGGCATCCCATGAGCCAAGCCTAATTAGGCAAATAATCATTTCTCTTCTCCAGTTGAAAGGGAACAAGAACAATGCCACAGGCAAGAATGAACCATTAGGCTACCTCTCAAAAGACAGATAAGGAATATCAAAAAAAGAAACTTTTTCGAACTTTTTCCACCCTTGCCTTGCACTTCTAAGGATTAGTTAAAGCCCCTGATGTGAAAGAAAATGCAGAAATAATTCGTGAAACCACAAATTAAACCACCTCTTCACGTTTCATACTTCACAGTAAGCCACAGTTCCAATCAACAAACTAGTAACAAATAGTGATTTACTGCTCTAAAAAAGCAACAACAATGGCTTATTCCTTCTTCCTGTTTGCACATCGCACTAAACTGCAAAGAAAACATGTACTTATACATAATGTATAAAGCCAGCTAGGAAGCTTTAATGAAGAATCCAGAGATTCATCAGGCAGCATTTTCCCATATAGGAGCTCCTGAAGCCCAAATTCTTCCAGGCGCCTTTCTTACTGATCTTTGATCTGTCATGGCTGAACTCTGCCTATAGAAACACTTGTTTAATGGTTTAAGGCTGTCAAGGGGGGTTGGGAATGGGATGTAGCCTGTTCCTTGAACTCTTGAGCGAAGGGAGGTCATGATGAGCTTCACTCCTACAAATGAAAGAAGTTATTAAATCTCTTCAGGCTCCACTCAGGTTTTGCTGCCGTAAGAAGTCAATTGTTCCTTTTAATTTTTCACTCTTTATCTTAAATTCAGTCATTTCAATACCTTGCAAAGACCTGCTTGCATTTTTAAATTCTGACCATACATTTAGTCTTAACAAAACATAACATAAGGGTCTGCCGCTTGCATTGTAACAACAGATTCGGGTTGAGCAGGAACAGGACAGATACAATCAGATGGGATCCATTTTAGCAACCGCANTGAGCCCTATCCAATAAGTTCAGTGCTGAAAAAGTAAGGTACCATATTTAGGCAGGAAAAACCAGGTGCATAGGTACAGGGCAGACAGTACCTAGCTCAACAGTAGTGCCTGTGAGAGGGATCTTGATGTCCTGGTGGACTACTGCTTAAGTATGAGCCAGCAGTGTGCTACAACTGCCAAAAAACCCAATAGAGTCCTTGGTTACATCAACAGAGGGATAGCATCAAGATCCTAAGAAGTGATAGTACCACTCTATGCTGCACTAGTGAGACCACATTCGAAATACTACACCCAGTTCTGGTTGCCACCATTCGAAAAGGATGCTGGGGCCCTAGGAAGAGTGCAGAGAAGAGCAAGAAAGATTATAATGGGTCTGGAGGCTAAATCATACAATTAACAGCTAAGGGAACTAAGTATGAGGAGAAGGCTTAGGGGAGGCCTGATAGTAGTCTTCCAATACTAGAAGGGCAGTCATAGGGAAGAGGGCATCAATTTATTCTCCAAAGTACCTGAAGGCAGGACAAGAAGTTCTGGAAGTTCAGAGGGAGATCCAACTTGGAAATAAGGAGGAATTTTTTGACAAAACAATTATTCAATGGAACAGCTTGCTTCCTGGAGTTATTGGTGCTTTATCGCTGGAGGTTTTCAAGAAAAGATTGGGCAACTATTTGTCCAGGATAGTATAAGCTCTTGCCTTGGATAGGGGCAAAATAGGGATAGATGGCCTCCATGGTCCCTTCCAGTTCTATGATTGTATAATTCTGTGTATTGAGATTGACATCTGGACACATTAATGCAAGTTTTCTTGACAGTAATATGAAAATGCTTTGTTGTTATCTTTTTCTGGAAAGGCATTTTTATTTGTCAGTCCAACCTATGGGCCAGATAATTCCCAAACTGTCTAAAATCCAAATACCAGCCAGATTTGTTCCTGGGTGTATTCTGAGCCCAGAAAAGATCAGGCATCCTCGTCTTGCAAATGTTAAAGCAATAAATATTGAAATTTTAAAAAGAAAATTGAGTGTCCATGTGACTTTCCATGGGTAAGAAAGTTCACATTAGAAGAGAAATATTTTCAGAATAACAAAGATACCTAAGTGTCAGGTATCTCTGAAAACCTTTTAAAGGTAGAAGTGACCGCAGCAACTGTCAGGTACAATGAAAGAACCAGGAACAGGAGTTTAGTTGAAAGCACTTCAAGTTTATTACATGCTACTTATACACAAGAATCTGATCTGCTAACAGTCAAGGTAAATTGGTAGATAAAAGTAAATGGGATTCAAGGGGAGGTTGGATGTAGGTCTCTTGTGGGAGCATAGCGATTCCAAACTGATGACACATTTGACTCCGCCCTCTGGCTCACCCTGGTCAACTCTTACGGCAACAGAGTTTGGAAATAGGGATTTATTTTTGTGGAGATGGTGTAGTACTTCCTGATTGATTTTTCCTCAGGTGAATGTTTCCATGGATGGTTAGAGCCTCTCCTATCGCGCATTGCTGAAGAGCCCACAGCTGTGGTCAGTCCAGATATCACCACCATTGATCTGAACAGCTTTGAATTTTCCAAGCCCATCCAATATGGGAAGCAACACAGTCGGGGAAACTTTGATTGGAGTCTTACTTTTGGCTGGGAGGCCATCCCTCAACATGAGAAGCAGAGAAGAAAAGATGAGACCTACCCAATCAAGTAGGTTCAAGCTGAAAGTTTGATACCATTGTTAACACGTCTGGGGAAGTGATGGGTAGCAAGAGATTGCCTTAAAAAGGCACAGTTTCCCAAAGCATAGGTTTCAGTTTTGGAAATCCTGAAATCAGTTATATACAAATTCTTTCTTTTTACACCCCCATTGTAGAATTTTAGTCATGATATAAAAATCATGGCATTTCTATTTTTGACAGAAATTAGGAGCTTGGAGTTTTGCCTGGACTAAGGTAGCTGGATTGCTTCAAGATTATCTTGGTTCTCTTAGTCCATTGTTCTATAAACTGGGTACTATCCAGATGATGGGCTTTAATTCCTAAAATTCTCACCATGCTGACTGGAATTTTGTCAAGCCTGAACATCTGGAGAGCCCTCAGTTTCAAAAAGGCATTAGTGCCATTGGCTGTGATAGGCGAGATGGACAGCAAACAAATTCAATAAATAAATAAATAAAATATTCCAAAATGGTTACCTAATAGAAATGAGACAGAGATTCTGAGACACATTCCTGCAGAGATAGCAAAGGAAGTGCATCTAAATGTTAAAATAGGTTTCATGTATGGAAGAGAATATCTGAAGGTTTGCACTGAGGTGTTTTTATCATCTTCGAATCAAAGCGGAAGGGATTGCTTTCTCTCCATTGTGCCTGAGTTCATTACTTTAACTCTTGTATTTCCCAAAGTTAAGAGTGTTGATTTGAGGAAACCATTATAGGCCTGAAGCCTATAGGTTTAGCCTCCGTTATCAGATTATGCTGATGTTAATACTTCACAAAACATGGATATAGGATCATAAATTACAGTGACAGCTTGTACTTAACAGGTATTATTATTATTATTAT